CTGTCCCGACGCACATTTGAACCTGCTGAACGGAGGGCAGATGTTCTTTGGACACTTGCTCTCGTCGCTCCGGTCCCGGCAGTTGTACTCGCCATCGCAGAGTTGTGCATAGCTGACGCACTCTCCCGACGAGCACTTGAAGGGCTGGTCTTCCGGACAGGCGGCCGCGGCGCAGCCGGCCTCGTCGCTTCCATCTCGACAGTCCTCTCTTCCGTCGCAAACGACCCCTGCGCCCAGGCACTCGCCGGTCGACGCGCACTTGAAGGACGCGTCGCTGCACGAGAAGGATGCGCAGTCGTTTTCATCCGAGCCATCCTCGCAGTCGTCGAGGCCATCGCATCGGTACTCCGGATAGACGCACTCCCCGGAGGCGCAGCGGAAGCACCCCTCCGGTACACAGACTCCGGCATCTTCGTCCGAACCGTCGGCACAGTCAGCGATCGAATCGCAAACACTGGATTCAGAAATGCATTTTCCATCGCCGCAAGACACAGGCCGGTCCTCCGGACACGGGCCACCGTCGGGAAGGCCGCACAGCTCGTCGGATCCATCGACGCAGTCGGCTATGCCGTCGCACTCTTGCTTGTTGGAGATACATTTCCCCGAAGGACACCTGAGCCCGATGCACTCGCAGGGAAGCTCGTCCTCTCCGCTGAGGCAGTCGGAGAACCCGTCACAGATGGAGCGGGAGCCGATGCATTCCCCGGAGGAGCACAGGTGAGGGCGGCCAGCGGGGCAGTCGGTGTGCTTTTGGCAGTGCTCGTCGGATCCGTCGAGGCAGTCCTTGAAGCCGTCACACTCATCCAAGGCGTATATGCACTGCCCCGAAGCGCAGCGGAACTTCCAGTCGCCACAAACACCTGTTCATGTATGCCAAAATTATTCTGTACCGGAGAAAATTCTTTGTTTTGCCAATTCATTCATATAAAAAAATCTGAACGAAAAACCCAAAGAATGAACGCATACGATGAGAGAGAGAGAGAGAGAGAGAGAGAGAGAGAGAGAGAGAGAGAGAGAGAGAGAGAGAGAGAGAGAGAGAGAGAAGAGAGAGAGAGAGAGAGAGAGAGAGAGAGAGAGAAAAGAGAGAAAACAGAATACCCTAAAAAAAGTAAACAGAACAGTACTCCAAAACATGAATGAATTCCTCACGTTTCTGGCAGGCCTCGGGAGCATCATCTTCGCCATTCATACAGTCAGCGTCGGCATCGCACACGAAATCACCGGGAACGCAGAGGGTTGGGAAACCGCTGCAGGTGAATTCATCGAACGAACAGCAACCTTCTGAAATGGGACAGGTGGTCATGTTGGGGTAGTTTGAGGGAAGAGGGAGGGAAGAAGGGAAGAGAGGGAAGGAGGAAAAAGGGTGGGGGGGGGGGGAGAAGGGAGGGAAAAGAGGTGGGAGGGAGGGAGAAGAGAGGGAAGGAGGGAGTGAGGGAAGGAAGGAGAAAGTAGGGAGGGAAGGAGGAAAGGAGGGATGAGGAGGAAAGGAGGGAATGAAGGAGAGAGGAAGGTAGTGAGGAAGGGAAGAGGAAAAGAGGGAGGGAGAGAGGGAAGGGGGAAAGCGATGGGGCAGAGGGACGGAGGGAGAGATGAAGATATGGCGAAAGAAAGAGGGAAGGGGGGAGGAAAGGAGAAAGAAAGAGAGGGAGGGAAAGGAGGAAGGGGGTTGTGAGTGATAGAAGGAAGGAAGGGAAAAGAAGGGAGGCAGTAAGGGAGGGAAGCAATGAAAGGGAAAGGAGGGAAGAAGAGAGCAGGGGGTAGAGAGGAGAGGAAGAAAAAGGGGAAGGGGGAGGAAGGGAGGAGGAAAATAGAGAGTGGGAGAAAAGAAAGGAATAAGGTAGAGAGGGAGAAAGAGAGGAATGGGTGGATGGAAGGAAGCAAATAGATAGGTTAGGGTTAGAGAGAGAGAGAGAGAGAGAGAGAGAGAGAGAGAGAGAGAGAGAGAGAGAAGAGAGAGAGAGAGAGAGAGAGAGAGAGAGAGAGAGAGAGAGAGAGAGAGAGAGAGAGAGAGAGAGAGAGAGAGAGAGAGAGAGAGAGAGAGAGAGAGAGAGAGAGAGAGAGAGAGAGAGAGAGAGAGAGAGAGAGATCCTCACCCGTTTCACTCGGATAAAAAGACAATCTTGCATTTCTTGCAGCATTTTTCTCCGATTTCTTAACGCCGCTTCTCTTGACACCATTTTTCTTGAGTTTACCTAAGATTTTAGTTTTTTTCTTCGCAGGACCACTTCCCCCAGCACTCTCTTGGAGATAATAGTCATAAGAGTGGTAGAACAGCATAGACGGGTAATCGATAACGTTGTCATCGTAGTAATCGTAGTACTCATAGGATTCATCGTAGTAATCGTAGTACTCATAGTAGTAGTAGTAGTAGTAATCGTAATAATCATATACATTGAAATAATCTTGGAAGACTTCAGTTTGGAAACATGGCCGCTCTTGGCACGTTCCGCCCACGCAGATTCGTCGAAGTCCGCAGTCGGAGTCGTATATACAGCTTTCG